TGATCTCTATCCTTTCCCCTCTCATTTTCCCCCTTGCTTCCTTTTTTGTTCAGGCCCTCCCAGGTAGTCACAGCTGTTGTGTGTTCATGATCGTAAGGACAACCTTGTGTTCAGAAGACAGCAGCACTACACTGTATTCTTCTCCATCCCCTGCTTCCCATAGTCCTTCCATTCTGTCTTCTGTGATGTTCTCTGGGCCTTGGATGGGGTGACATTGATAGCCCATTTGGGGCTGAGTACTCAGCTGTCACGCTCCCCTGCTTTAATTATTGCCCACTGCTGAAAGAGGTTTCCTTAATCAGGTCTGAGAGCTGCCAGAGTCTGTGTGTATAAACACATATATTTAGAAGGCAGTTTAAATACACATCTATTTGGCAGATATCAATATTAGATCCCCCAGTAGGGCATGTGACCTTCCATAAGCTTTTGACCAATTCTATGGTACCAGGAGTATATGTATTCCTTCCCCGTAGAGTTTCTTCAAATCCAACCAGAAAGCAGTTGGTTGCTCCCAGAACATTCATGTACTAGTATATCTTGCCAGGCAGTTCAGTATTGAAATAGGAACAATGTATAGCTGGGTGTGATTATTCTGTCATTGTGGTGGATATCCAAGAGCAAATATAACAGCCTGTGTTGTTTTGAAAGTTTGCGGGGACTACCTGGGCAGTCATAGGGGATTATCCCATATCTGACACTGGAATTTTGGTTTGAAAACATATGGCTTCTGGGAGCAGTGTTAACCACCATGGAGAGTACTTTGGTTCAAATTCTTTTTTCCTTTTTTAAAGTCTGTGAAGTAGTAGGTTCCCATATGACTTTTTCACGAATTCTTAGTTTTGATTGACCCCTTTCCCCAACCCCACATTTCTTCTGTTTCTCTATTCCCTTATCCCTCTTTAAACCTTTTCTTCCCTGGATTCCTTTGTCTACTTTCATATAAATATGATTTACTCTCCTTTCAACACCCCCTGCTCTGTGTTTCCTTTCTTGATATCTGGCTCCTGTGGACTCACTGCAACTTAAACATATAACTATCTAAAAATTTGAATTTGAGATCCACATATGAGAGAGAACACTCAGTGTTTGTCTTTCTGGATATGGCTTACCACACTCAGTATAATATTTTCCAATTCCATTAATTTTCCTGCAAATTTCATTTTTCTTTAATGTTGAGTAGAATTCCATTGTGTGAGTGGTTTATGATAGTCACATATTAATTCTATAATTGTTAAGTGGTTTATGATAGTCACATATTAATTCTATAATTATTGGCTGCTGGCTGAATTCAGGACCAGAGATGCTCAGGAAATGGCAGGTAAACAATGGGACAAGTATAGACTCTAAGTATTATATTACTATATGAATCAATTAAACATTTAAAGTATTTTATTTAGTGTTTATTTGTTATGCATTTTATTAATGGTTCAAGACAGAACTGATATTCTTCTCTCTGGTGAAGAGGCTTTGTTTGATGTTCTGACTTTTTTGTATAATCTTTGCATATGTTTAACTACTGTCTGCTTAATCATGGTATATGTGAGTTTAGATGAGGTAATGTATGTAAAGGAAGTAGCATCGTACCTTTATAAGCAAATATTTAATATATTTATGGACATGAAAAACCTCAGTTTATTAGGGCTGTGTGTCAAATAGTTGGTATTAGGTAGTATGTGCATTTTTGAAAAAAAAAATTAAAGCCTGCCTTTCCATATGGTTTTACAGCAGAAGGTCTGATTTTTTTTTTTTTTTTAATTGTTACCATCACTACTAATCTGCTACTTGGCCAACTGTTGGCCTTATCTTACTGATATATGAAGCGAAATCATTCTTATTTCATAGAGGCTTGAAAGAAACAAAAGAAGCAGTAAAATTTTCAGACAGAGATAATAAAGCAAACTGTTTAAATTACAACATTTTAAAAATCTGCCCAGGGTTTCAGCTCACACCTGTAATCTCATGTCTTGGGAGCTGGAGGCAGGAAAATCAGGTTTTAAAGGTCATCCTTGCCTACTTAATAAGTTCAAGGCAAGCCTGAGTGAAGTCTACACAGCCTGCACTTGTAAGATCTTGTTTCAAAAACAAATAATAAAACAAAATGTTTAAGGTGTCAAGACCAGGCTGGAGAAACCCACAGAAACAGCTGACCTGAATAAGGGGGAACTCATGGACCCCAGACGGATAGCTGGGAAACCAGCATAGGACTGATCCATACCCACTGAATGTGGGTGTCAGTTAGGAGGCCTAGGCAATATATGGGTGGGGCCTCTGGTAGTGGATCAGTATTCATCCCTAGTATATGAATGGACTTTGGGAGCCCATTCCACGTAGAGGGATACTGTTTCAGCCTAGACACATGGGGGAAGGCCTAGGCCCTGCTCTGAATGATATGACAGACTTTGAAGATCTCCCATGGAAAGCCTCACCCTCCCTGGGGAGCAGAAAGGGGATGGGATAGGGAGTTGTTGGGGGACAGGGGAGGAAGGGAGGAACAGGGAACTGGAATCGACATGTAAAACAAGCTTGTTTCTAATTTAAATAAAAAAGAGAGAACAACAACAACAAAAACCCAAAATGTTTAAAACATACCTTTGTGCCCATTGCTAATTTGGGAGCACTTTTATAAAAGCAAGTTACTTAATCTCTTACAATTCTAAATTATTTATCTGTAGTATGGGGATAATGTAACAAGTGTATTAAGTGAAGAAATGCATGCAGAGGAGTTTGTCCAGGCACATAGAAAAACACTTAAAAACAGATGTGATGGTTGTGGATTATTTTGTCATTGGTGAGTAATGGATTCTTTGTTCAGCTTTGCTCTCTGTGGATTAAAGCTGAATTCTGGGGTGTAAATGGTGTTGTTTTATGGAAGTGAAAGAAATCAATTCTTTTTTATGTGTAGTAAAGTCCTCAGGAATATGCGATTTTTATCTTTTTTTCCCAATGAGTTTTTTTTTTTATTAATTAATTTATTTTTTACATTCCCATTCCAATTCCCCTCCCTCTTCTCCTCCCATTCTCCATTCCCCTCCCACCTCCCATCTGCTCTACTGAGAGGGTAAGGCCTCACTGAGCAAGTCTGTCCCATCATCCTGTTGAGGCAGAACCAAGGAACCTCTCCACCCCCTGTGTCTAGGCTGGGCAAGGTATCTTCCCCATATGGAATGGGCTCCACTAAGTCAGTTTGTGCATTAGTATTAGATCTTGGTCCCACTGCCAGTGGCCTCATATATTGTCCCAGTCACACACTATTGCCACCTTTATTAAGAGAGTCTAGTTCGGTCTTAATGCAGGTTCCCCACTTGTCAGACCTGAGTCAGTGAATTTTCACTAGCTTGGGTCAGCTGTTTCTGTGGGTTTCCCATCATGGTTTTGACTCCTTTGTTCATATTATCGATTCTCCCTCACTTCAATTGTACTCCAGGAACTTGGCCCAAAGGTTAGTTGTGAAAATCAGTTCTTTAAAAATGTATTTATTTAGTTGGTGTGTGTGTGTGTGTGTGTGTGTGTGTGTGTGTGTGTGTGTGTGTGTGTGTTCTCATGTGACATGTCTTATGGGGGGAGGGGAATCAAATTTAGGTTTTCTGGTAAGTGCCAGAATCTTGCTGATCCATCTCACTGGCCCAGAAATCAATCCTTTTAAAAGAAAATTTTGCATTGTGGTGCACACACTATCTCAACACTCGGGAGATGGAAGCAGGTCGATCTCTGAGTTTGAGGCAAGCCAAGGGTTCTGTAGTGAGTCTTTATCTCAAAGCAACAAACAAATTAATGAAATTAGTTTAGAAGAAAATTCCCCAACTTCCCCAACTTGGGTCTCAATATTTTCCTAGGGAAAATGTTTAGGATCTGTGCTTCAGCCATAAATGGAGGTAGAAATTGAACATGATACTTTCTGATACTTAATTTCAGTTCAAAGTCTTAAAAGAGTTAGTGGGTCCTGAATAGGAGCATTACTTATTCTGAGAAGAAGTGGGTATCAGGAAGAATTTTGGAGTGGGCTATATTTGAATGTCTGAATGGTATGGCAACAGAAAACTCGAGCCTCTGCACTTAACCTTATAAGGAGTTTATTTTCTTTAGCCCCAGGTAGTCATTTCCCATGATAAAATAGTAATTTCTCAGAAAAAATATTTTTTCATAGATTGTATCATATTTTTATTTCTATCCACTTACAATTATTAGCTATCACTTTTCTTTTTTTTTAAAAAAAGGATCTGCTCAAGGCTTTGACCATTTACATGTTGACAGGAATTCTTTGAAGATTACAATTTGCCTTGAAAAAGAAATGTATATAAAGTCTTAGTGTGTGTACTCTAAGAAAGAAAGGACTAAATTACTGGTGGCAAAAGTGAGCAAGTCATAATCTCCCTATTTGTAGTGACTGATTGCATGCAGTTCATCATGTAGCTGCTGTATGGTCAGAGATGTTAATTTTCCTAAACTCTCTCTCTCTCTTTTTTTTAATCTGTAGCAGAAAAGTTAGCAACAAATGCAATAGAACATCTTTTGTCACTGTAGTCATTCCAGGCACTAGCAGATGGACACAGCAACAGGACATAGCCCTCTAAGGTGCAAATGTCAGGACTGTATACTGGAGTCTTCCATGCCTGAGCTAGGGGCTAACCTGAATAAAAACTGTTTCATGATGCTCTGAGTGGGCAATGTCTCCAGTTTGTGTGTGGTGGTCTTGTTGCCTAATTAATCCCTGGCCATCTGGTGTCCATAAACACCTGGGAGGCAAGGAGGAGAGGGGTCAGGTAGCCTTCTACCACACAGGCTTCTGGAGGCCTGTCTACTACAGCAGCCACGGAAGGCAGGAAAGGCAGTTCCACAGGAGGACATGACTGGGGCTGATAGGATCCTTGCAAAACTAGGTCAGAGTAAAACCCCTTAAGGCAGAGCCCTGCTTCTACCTCCGTCCCATAAGCCCCTGAGGATACTGCCCAGTGCTGATAGTGGATACTTAGTGAGCAGTCAGGAGATCAAGAGGCTAGATGTGTTCCAAAGCACCAGGGTTTGGCAAGGACAGGAATGAACCTTCCAAATACAAGGTAAGGCTTTCGGCATCCTCTCCTTGCAATTGTATGACCTGGGCACAGACAGCTTATAATTGCTTCCGAATACAGGGGCCGAAACCAATATTGCAATCAAGTCTTTTATTGTACCTTCTGTCTTAAGAAATCTCAACTTTCTTGTCTAGTGCCAAGGTTCCCTTTTACATTATGTCTTGGATTTCTGCCCTTGTTCCTCTGATTTTTGTTATTTTTTTTTAGGGCTAGGTCATGACTATATATAAATGTACTGTCGTACCTGTTCCTCCTCCTCCTTGTCTTCTCAATCCAGTCACCACCCTCACACACAAGTGTGACTTAGCAACAATTATGCCTATCTGCACTTCACATCAATCTTGCAGAACTTATTTGATTTATACCCTTTGATTTATTTTTGTGTTTCTAGGTATATTATTTTTCTGTATAGTTGGGTGCCTAGTAAGTATTATAAACTGAAATGATTTGACCTAATGGTGGATTCTTTTTTGAAATGAGTTCTAACTATCCTTCTTGCTTCATGAAAATTTCATAATTTTGTGAGATTTTATGAGAAGCTTTGAATTAAAGATCAGAGTGCTTAGTTTTAGAGGGCAGGCAGACATTGTGGTTTGGAAGTTTTTGTTTTGGAATCATAGTGTCAAGTCAGCAGTAGCTCTGAGACTGTTATCTGTTTAATGTGTCTGAGTCTCAGTTTTTAATCTCTAAAATGGAGATGTTAATATCTTCTTGGTAGTCTTATGAGGATGGAAGTAACTCATATCAAAGATCTGCACATCACAGGGGTCTGTAGGTGGAAGCTATTATTAATGTTGCTTCTTTTAATGATATTGCATAGCCCTTAATATACAAGTCTTTTACCTCCTTGCTAAATTTATTTATAGGCATTTTATACTTTTAGATTCTTTTAAATGGAAGTGCTTTCTTTTTTTCCATTTTGGGGTGCCCATTGCTGGCATATTGAAACACAGCTGCTGGGCTAGAGGTGTAGCTGAATGGTAGAACATTTTGTCTAGGGTGCACAGGGGCCTGGGTCCCAGCTTCAAAGCAAATGACTGTAATTTAGAAATTATAACAGCCTTTTCTGTGTCAACCAAAATTGTAGTTTTGTTGAATTTATTCACTTGAATGGTGTTTGGTGTGGGTTTCTCTGTGGCTTTGGAGGCTGTCCTGGAACTAGCTCTTGTAGACCAGGCTGGTCTCTGAACTCACAGAGACCCGCCTGCCTCTGCCTCCCGAGTGCTGTGATTAAAGGCGTGCGCTACCACTGCCCAGCTCTCTGTGGGGTTTGTTAGATAGAAGATTATGTTGCCTTTGAATGGTCATGTTTATCTTTACCTTTTTAGTTTGGTTGTCTTTTTTGTCAGTGGCTAAAACTTCTAGTATAATGTTAAGTAGTAAAATAACAGTAAAACTAGGTGTTCTTCTTGTTCCTTATCTAAGGGGAGGAAGCTGCTATTCTTTAAAACAATTAATATGGCATGTACATATATATTATTTACTTTGCTCATATTCAGCTTTGCCCCGTCTGCTGGTACTTTTCTTCCCCTCTGCTTTCATGCATATAATATATATGCATAGACAGAGATACATGTATATATATTACACACAAGAGAAAACATGTTGTGCTTTGTCCTCTTGTTCCACTCTTCCTCCTAACTTTAGGATATTACCTTTCTTGTTGCTGTAATTACATACCTGACAAAGGCAACTTAAGAAAGGAAGGGTTTGTTTGTGTTCACAGATTGAGAGCGCAGTCTGTCATTGAGGAGATGGCATGGTGGGGACATGAAGCAGTTACTCACATTGTGTTTATACACCACAAGCAGAGAAATGAGTGCTGGTGTTCAACTTGCTTTCTTGTTTGATCTGTGAACTCAGCTCATGGAGCGGTGTATCCACATTTAGGGTCAGTCTGTCCACTTCAATTAGCACAATATAACAGCCCCCTCATAGGCATGCCCAGAAGTTGGTTTCCATGGTGATACCTCCTAGTTGACAATCAGAAAGCATCATTCCAAGTTTCTTTCTCTTATAGTCTCCCGTTTTTACTTTGATGTTTTCTACACATTCTACCACTCAGTCAGGAAAGCAAAGAGACATGGATAGTTCTCTCTCTTTTTCAGTCCAGCTCCACTTACCTGTGGGATGGGTCTTTTCTCATTTAAACCTTCCTGGAAACACATTGCAGACATACCTGGAGGAGGTGTATCTCATAGGGATTCTAAATCCAGTCAAGTTGACAGTAAGTTAACCATCATGATCTATGTGTGTGCTCTATAAATGAAAGAAAACATGCAATGTTTGTCTTTCTGATCTGGCTTATTTTGTTTACTATGATGATCTCCTACTTCCGTTTTTCTACATGTCAGAGTTTTATTCCTTTCTATGGTTGAATAACACTCTACTGTGTATATATACTGCACTTTTTTTTTGTCAATTTATCTCTTTTTTATGTGTATAAGTATTTTGTCTGTATGCATGTATAAGTGCACCATGTGTGTACAGTGCCCCTCAGTCCAGAAGAGGGCGATAGATCCGTAAAAGCTGAAGTTACAGGTAGTAGTAGTGAGTGGCTGTGTGGGTGTTGGGAGCAGAAGTTGAGTCTTCTGTAAGCAGTCAGTACTCTTACAGAATAATCTCTCCAGCTGTCTATTTACTTCTTGGTTGGCATTTAGGCTGGTTGCATATCTAAGCTGCCGGAGGAAAAACATTAGGAAACAAAGATATAGGCATAGGCCAGGACTGAAAAGGCCTTGAATAGCTGAGGGTAACATCAAGAATCAGCTACAGGCTTTCTGAAAAAAAGTTAAAAGACCTAGCCTATGACTTTATTTTAAAGTGCTTCTTTATGTTTTCCTCTGGCAGCTCCAAAGTTTCAGATACTACATTAGGGTCATTGAGGGTAAGATCTTTAAGGTATAAGGGTGATAGGTATCTAGTTGTGTTCTTCTATGGATGGAGATCCAGTTATCATTTGATGAAGAGACTGTCTATTCGACAATGCTTTTTGACACCTTTGTGAAAATTTAGGTGGCTTTAGATGCATAACTTTATTTCATTTCTAGGTCCTCTATTCCATTAGTCCTTGTGACTGTGCTTTGCTGTTTTTGTTACTGTGTCTCAGTAATATAATTGAGGTCAAGTATTGTGATACTTTTAAAAATTATGCACATGCGTGTGTCTGTTTACATGTGGATTTGTGAACATGTGTGATGTCCTCAGAGACCAGAAGAGGGTATTGGATTTCCTGGAGCTGGAGTTAACAGGAGGTTGTGAACTGCCCTCCCTGTGTGAGTTCTGGGAATCCAGCTTGGGTCCTCTGTAAGAGTAGTTTGCATGCTTAACCACTGAGACATCTCTCCAGCCCCTTCAGGGTTGTGCATTTTTCATTGCAGTTCTTTTACTTCCTCAGTTAGGCATATTCTTATGTATTTCATTCAGTGGGAAGATATTTTGTATGGATTTCCCCCCTTGATTTTCCTCAGCAGGTTTGATACTGGCACATAGAAAAGCAGCTATTTTTTGTGCTGATTTGTATTATGTCACTTTGCTGAAAGTGTTCATCATATCTAAGAGTTTTTTTTGATGAAGCCTGGAGGGACTTTTAAGTCTAGGACCATAGAGAGTTGTGATTACTCTCACAAGGGTTCAGTTGAGAGCTCAGATGCTCAACTGGCACATAGAAAAGCAGCTATTTTTTGTGCTGATTTGTATTATGTCACTTTGCTGAAAGTGTTCATCATATCTAAGAGTTTTTTTTGATGAAGCCTGGAGGGACTTTTAAGTCTAGGACCATGCCATTTGCAAATAGGAATAGTTTGCCTTCTTTTCTTAACTCTGTTGAAGACTTTAAGAACTGTTTTAATAAAAGTATAGAGTGAGTGGACACTCTTATCTCGTTCATTTCAAGGAAATGCTCTCTATTTCTTCCTATTAATATAATGTTGACTATAGGGTTGTCAGATGTAGTATTTATTATGTTGAGATATAGTACTTCTAGTTCTAGTTTCTTTAGGACTCTTATCATACATGGATGTTGAACTTCAGCAAAGGTCTTTTGAGGATCTATTGAGTTTATTATGCTAATTTTGTTTTTTAATTCTGGAGACCATGAGTTAGATTGTATATTGATTTGTGTGTGTTGAATCATCCTGTGATCCCAGAAATAAAGTCCATTTGGTCATGGTATATGATCCTTAAAATGTGTTGTTGAATTTGGTTTGCAAATCTATTATTCAGAATTTAAACTTTTGTTATTATTGTGCACATGTCTGTATAAATACATACCTGCCATGCTTGTGTGTTGAGGTCAGGAGACATCTTTGTGGAGTTATTTCTTTTTCACCTTTCTGTAGGTTCTGGGAATTGAACTCAGGTTTCAGGCTTGTGGAAAGTGTTTTAAAATTTTTTATTTATTGCTTATCTTTATGGGTATTTTACCTGCATGTAAGTCTGTGTACCAGGTACATGCTTTGTGCCTGAGGAAGCTAGAAGAGGGCTTCTAATCTCCTGGAACTGGAGTTACAGATGATTATGAGCTGCAGTGTGGATCCTGGGAATTGAACCCAGGTCCTTTGAGAGAGTGCTGAGCTATCTCTCCAGCCCCTGGAAAGCACTTTTACCCACTGAGCCATTTTGCTGGCTCTTTATTGAGAATTGTTACATCTATATCCATCTGGGAGTTTGGTCTGCAGTTTTCTTTTTTCATGTGTGTCCTTGTCTGGTTATGATATGGGGTAATAATAGCTTTGTAGATTGAGTTTCTAGTGTTCTTTCCCTTTCTGTTTTATAGAATAGGTTAAGAGCAGGTGTCAGGTCTTCTTTAAAGGTCCTGTGGAATCTAGCAGTGTGCACCATCTTGGACCTTTGTTGTTGAGGTACTATTTATTTCTTCATTCTTACTTGTTATAGATGTATTTAGGCTACTTATTTCCTCTTGATTTAAGTTTTTGGTATGTCATGTTTCTAGAAATTTTCTCATGTCTAGATTTATACTGTTTTAGGATATGTTTTCATTATTCTGTAATGATTGTGTATTTTTGTGTGTATATGTATGGTATCTCTGTGTCCATGTGTA